AAAAATCTTTAAAATAAGAAAAAATACCAAAACTCTTGGGTATGCTTATATATACATGTACATACTATTTTCAGAATATTTTGAGTATATATAAAAATACATAGGGGAAAATTGGGTATCAACAGGAACGACGACGGGTTAATATTTCGACAAAAAGTTCGAAATAACACCCTTAAGGCTAAGGGCCTTCGCCAAACAGAAAAGGGTTCGACCTCGATCGAACGACGACGGGTTAATATTTCGACAAAAAGATCGAAATAACACCCTTAAGGCTAAGGGCCTTCGCCAAAAAGAGAAGAGTTCGACCTCGATCAAACAGCGAAGGGGTAATATTTCGACGACTGTTCGAAATAACACCCTTAAGGCTAAGGGCCTCCGCCAAACAGAGAAGAGTTCGACCCCGATCGAACACCGACGGGTTAATATTTTGACGAAAGTTCGAAATAACACCCTTAAGGCGTCGACGACGGGTTAATATTTCGACAAAAAGTTCCAAAAAACACCCTTAATGCTAAGGACCTTTGCCAAGAAGAGAAGAGTTAGACCTCGATCGAACAATGACGGATTAATATTTCGACGAAAGTTCGAAATAACACCCTTAGGCTAAGGGTCTCTGCCAAACAAAGAAGAGTTCGACCTCGATCGAACAACGACGGGTTAATATTTCGACGAAAGTTCGAAATAACACCCTTAAGGCTAAGGGCCTTTGCCAAAAATAGAAGAGTTCGACCTCGATCGAACAGCGAAGGGTTAATATTTCGACGAAAGTTCGAAATAACACCCTTAAGGCTAAGGGCCTTCGCCAAACAGAAAAGGGTTCGACCTCGATCGAACGACGACGGGTTAATATTTCGACAAAAAGTTCGAAATAACACCCTTAAGGCTAAGGGCCTTCGCCAAACAGAGAAGAGTTCGACCTCGATCGAACAACGACGGGTTAATATTTCGACGAAAGTTCGAAATAACACCCTTAAGGCTAAGGGCCTCCGCCAAACAGAGAAGAGTTCGACCTCGATCGAACATCGACGGGTTAATATTTCGACGAAAGTTCGAAATAATACCCTTAAGACTAAGGGCATTCGCCAAAAAGATAAGAGATCGACCTCGATCGAACAACAACGGGTTAATATTTCGACAAAAGTTCGAAATAACAACCTTAAGGCTAAGGGCCTCCGCCAAACAGAGAAGAGTTCGACCTCGATCAAACAACGACGGGTTAATATTTCGACGAAAGTTTGAAATAACACCCTTAAGGCTAAGGGCCTCCACCAAACAGAGAAGAGTTCGACCTCGATCGAACAACGACGGGTTAATATTTCGACGAAAGTTCAAAATAACACGGTTAAGGCTAAGGGCCTTCGCCAAACAGAAAAGGGTTCGACCTCGATCGAACGACGACGGGTTAATAATTCGACAAAAAGTTCGAAATAACACCCTTAAGGCTAAGGACCTTCGCCAAAAAGAGAAGAGTTCGAGCTCGATCGAATAGCGTCGGGTTAATATTTCGACGAAAGTTCAAAATAACACCCTTAAGGCTAAGGGCCTCCGCCAAACAGAGAAGAGTTCGACCTCGATCGAACAGCGACAGGTTAATATTTCGACGAAATTTCGAAATAACACCCTTAAGGCTAAGGGCCTTCGCCAAACAGAAAAGGGTTCGACCTCGATCGAACGACGACGGGTTAATATTTTGACAAAAAGTTCGAAATGACACCCTTATGGCTAAGGGCCTTCGCCAAAAAGAGAAGAGTTCGTCCTCGATCGAACAGCGACGGATTAACATTTCGATGAAAGTTCGAAATAACACCCTTAAGGCTAAGGGCCTTTGCCAAACAGAAAAGGGTTCGACCTCAATCGATCAACGACGGGTTAATATTTCGATGAAAGTTCGAAATAACACCATTAAGGCCAAGGGCCTCCGCCAAAAATAAAAAGAGTTCGACCTCAATCGAGCAACGACGGGTTAACATTTCGATGAAAGTTCGAAATAACAACCTTAAGGCCAAGGGCCTTCACCGAAGAGCACAGTTCAACCTCGAATCGAACAATCACGGATTAGTATTTCGACGAAAGATCGAAACATCCTCGTGGCCAAGGTCTATTTTAAATAAAAAAAAGGGGGGGGAAATAAAACTGGGACTCACGACGGGATAGTATTTCGATATAAATTCGAAAGTAACATCCCTGCGGCTAAGGTCGCTACCCGAAAAAGCGTCAGAAGCCATCCGAACCATGATGGGACAGTGCTTCGACACATGTTCGAAAATATCGCCCCGACAGCTAAAGCCGCCATCGAAATCCTACTCAATCCGTGTGGCGCTAAGTTCCCTAAGAATCGGGAACTCGCAACACAGAGATCTACTTCTTTGCACCAGAGTTATGAAAAAAAACAGGAAAAGAAATACAGGAGATGTGCAACAATGAAAAAATTCCTCTTTATACGAAGCTACTGCGCAAACAGTCGCAGAATACATACGGCCAAACCAATAGAATCCAAGAAAAGCAATAAACAACCAATATAAAAAAAAAAAAAAAGAGAAAACGAACAAAGACAACAATTCTTTTCACTTGGCGTCATCACCACCACCCTCTTCACCACCATCTCCAGGAAGTCGTCCTTCATCATCACCACCCTCACCGGCCTCCGGCGTCGCAGGGTCATATCCAGAGTTAATACGAGCCTCTCGTGCCTTCGCCCGTGCTCCTTCATATGCAGCCTCGGGAACACTTCCCGCCTCCCACAAACTCTTATAGATATCCCGCTGGGCTTCAGCATAAACCCAAAGCTCGTGCAAATGACGGGGAACAGCAACGGAGGAAGATTTGACTTGAGCCAACAGTTGCTCCTTTTCGGCCTCAAGAGCAGCGACCCGGTCCCCTAACCTTTTTGTCTTTTCATCAAAATTTTCTCTAATTCTCCCTTCTTCTACAATTTCAACCGATATAGAACTATTTAGTGCTCCTCTCTTTCTGCAGACTTCCAATTGCAATTGAAGAACATTTGCTTGAAATTGAACTAAGCATTGACTAATCAAAAATTCAAAAGCTTTTGTCCCAGTACAACTACCACCATAGCCTTATTCTCATCATTCTATAATACCTCCCGTAAAGTGCTCTCTATTTTTATACATATCAAATAACAACAAATACTCAAATGCTAAAGAGGGCAACTTGTTAGGTGTTTGTCCAGATTTTCTTACCATAATTGGTTTTTCTATCTCATAAAGGAAAGAACAACATATTTACCATAATTGGGTTTTTCTTTTCCTAGAAGGAAAATATAATTCTTTCATATTTGGCTAGTCCCTTTTCTTGTAGGAAAATGTTTGGAGTTCTATAAATTGAACATCCATCCTTCTCATTCAGTAGCATCCACAATGTAGCCATATAGGGTTTGAGAGTCGTGTTTAGGGGGAAAAATTTACGGGACAAGTGTTAGTGTGTCACTTGTGTTTGCCTCTTCGTGAGGTTGTTCTCTCGATATTTTGTACTCTCTTTTTATATAGTGGATTGCTCATCTCCATTGTGGACGTAGGTCAATTGACCGAACCACGTTAAATATTTGTGTCTCTTTTAGTAGATTTCTCTTTGTTGTGTGATTTATCGTCGTTCAAGGTTTGCCTTGCTAGTTTCCGCATGACACCTGATTTTTTCGTCCTAACAAGTAGTATCAGAGCCAGCTTCGAGCGAGGTTCAAGACAGGTTCATCTTGGTGGGTTTAGTTCTAGTAGCAACCTATTTAATGGTAATCGTGATTTTTGTTCGAGAAATTTGATCGGAGTGCTACACACGTTAAGACAAACTTTGTGGTAAAGATTTAGAGATGCGACCTGTTAAAGGCTATGTGAAGAAGGTGGATCAAGTTTATTTAGTCAGAAAATTCAGGCCAAGGGGGAGAATTGTTAGGTGTTTGTCCAGATTTTCTTACCATAATTGGTTTTCCTATCTCATAAAGGAAAGAACAACATATTTACCATAATTGGGGTTTTCTTTTCCTAGAAGGAAAATATAATTCTTCCATATTTGGCTAGTTCCTTTTCTTGTAGGAAAAGGTTTGGAGTTCTATAAATTGAAGATCCATCCTTCTCATTCAGTAGCATCCACAATGTAGCCATATAGGGTTTGAGAGCCGTATTTAGGGGGATGCGGGACAAGTGTTAGTGTGTCACTTGTGTTTGCCTCTTCGTGAGGTTGTTCTCTCGATATTTTGTACTCTCTTTTTATATAGTAGATTGCTCATCTCCGTTCTGTACGTAGGTCAATTGACCGAACCACGTTAAATGTTTGTGTCTCTTTTGGTAGATTTCTCTTTGTTGTGTAATTTATCGTCGTTCAAGGTTTGTTTTGCTAGTTTCCGCATGACACCTGATTTTATCGATCCTAACACAACTCTCTCTTCCAAATGGAGGTGAAAATAAAAGAAATATCACTGAAAGAAGAATGTGTTTTCTCCGTAGCTTGAAAACGTAAATGAATCCAAAACACCATCTTAGATTTCAAAATTTGATTTTCTTTGAATACCCAATATTCGTAGCTCCAAAATTCTTGAAATCAGAATATATAAGAAAATATCCAGAAATAATGCAAACTTCTTGGATATAATAATGAAAGTATGGAGTTAAATATATATATATATATATATATATATATATATATATATATATATATATATATATATATATATATATATATATATATTTTTACTAAAAATTCCAATAAAGAGTCCACATTCTATGAGAGATGATCATGTGAAAAGAGATTTGAACTAATTTGGTTGGAGATGGAATCACTTCTTGTGTGTTCCCATTGACGATGGAACTATGTGGCTCTGAAGTTTGCATCGAAGAGGAATTATACAAGAGCAAGGGGAATTAGGGAAAATTTTGACTACTAATTAAATTGCACGAACAAAATCACACAAGGGCAAAAGGTGAGATCAAATTCACCAAAAGTGGAAAAAAAATTCCTTCTCTACTTTAAGCAAATTAAGGGGCGCAATGTAATAAAGCAACTTTATCATTGAGGAAATAGGTTAAAATTACATTCTTTGCACTAGGCAACGATACCATTTTAACTGTGCGTAGACAAATAACTAATTAAGCTGCATATATAGTTTATGCTAGGTAACCACTGACTAATACTGATCAAATAACATTACAACATTCTCCCTGGATGCAAGACCTTGATCTCCACGACTAGTGTCCCTTCGATCGACCCAAGTTTATTCATTTTTTGTTCTTCTCTTAAATCCTAATTAACTGATATTGGTAGCCCCAAACCTTAATCTTTCATTAACTTTCAAACAGGCATATATGGATTGAGGAGTTGAATGAGAGAGCCTTTAAGGTGGAGAGACATGATTTCATTAGTTGAACCAATCAATTTCCCTCCTATGAAAACTGCAGGTACTGAAGGATTGCAGCCCATTTTAATAAGGGATTTGTCCATTTCCTTTCCATCTGAGTCATGATCCAGTTCATGCACGTACGCATTCACCCCTAGCTCTCTGAATAGAATACTCACCGCGTAGCACAAACAGCACGTACTCTTGCTGAATATCATTACTCCATTTTCTGATGCCAATTTCTGTACTTTGTCCATGAATTCCTTCTTCCCTAGCTCTACCTTGAATATAATGAACAAGTAATGAAAAGTACTTTAGGGGGTGTTTCTTAAGCTAAAACAAGCACACCATCGGATCGCAAAGTTCAAACAAATTGAACTTTGATCCGATGATTAATTGTTTTACACTATATATGTAAGGAGGGGGGGTAAAGAGATGGAGATTTACGTACTAAGGGTAATATTGTTTTTTTTTTCCTTTTCCAAGTTCTGAGTTTAGATGGAAATGGGGTTGTTCAGGTTCTACCCTATTTATAAGAAAGGGAAAAGGAATATATAGCGGGGATGAAAAGAACAATATTCAAAAAGATAGTGAGCTTTATTTAGATGCTCCATCCAAGGGCTGGACTGCATGGTACTAATCTGATCTTCCACAGTAACTATTCAAACTTAAAACAGAAGATACTACTTCATTATTTCGTTCCAACACAATGGGCAAGTTGGAGGATACATATATTCCATCTGGTCATTCACCTTTCAACTCTATTTAATTTGTGCTCAATAAAGTTCGAGGGATGGCCTGATATTCGTAATGCTTTTTTTACTTTTAGCCCGCGCCACAAATAATATATATATATATTATTTTTTTGGCTAGTATTTTGAGAGCGCCATACATTGTCATTTTCCCCATATTCGTATCATCTGGGCCCATTAAGATAAAACTTTATACTACTCCACATTTAAGAGTAAAATGAGAAGTTTAAGTTAAATTATTTTCAACTTCAGGGGGGTAGAGTTTGCGTACATACTACCCTCCCCAGGCCCCACTAGTGGAATTTTATTGGGTCGTTGTTGTTATTGTTGTATTTTCAACTTCAGAAATGTATTATTCTTTTAAAAAAATTAAAAAAAAATACTAACAAGGAAATAATGTCAAGATGGAATGGAAGAATACTTGATAGGAATAATATATACTCATGCATACTATAGATTCTAACTCCTAGATCGGTCTCCAACTGTGTATAATGTATTAGCATTGCTTGATCGGGGGCAATATACAATCGAAGGGCTCATAAAATTCAAAACTTGAGAAGTAAGGGAATATCGATGGCCTTTGTTGAACAGAGAGCGAACGGACGGCAAGTGTTGGGCTTTGTGGTCGTTAACGGGAACAAATGAAGAGGAGCACCAACTCAGGAGTCCTTGAAAGCCTTGATCTACGGAACTGACATATACTTGTGCCCAATGCATGCATCATCAGAAGTGGCACACAAAATATTCTCATCACTAAGGCCATACAAATTGAACATTACGGAGTAAATTTTACATTATTAATTTTATTTATCATGAATGATTCATATAATTATTTGGAGTATCTTTTAGATAATAATGTAATCAGTGTAATAAATTATTTATTACTTATTTTATAGTAAACTTTTTAGCACATATATGCTCTGGACAAACTAGAGGCATACTAGAAACAAAATATGTGCATAGCTAGGTAGTTCAAGAAGGACGGTCAATTTAGTCAAGATTCTTCTCCCATTGTCCTGTTGATTTTATTCTCTCCTTGAATTGAAAAGCATTTTGGTGGCTTGGATTCTCTCTTTTGTGCTCTGCTCGCATCTTCTTATGTAAAGCCTTGTCACACGTGATAATTGTTTTAGAATCCAAAATGGTTGAGGCCTGAGGGAATGGTCTGGTTTCTTTATAAAGTCTTGGAGTTATGCTTTTAGATCAATTTTTAATCCAAAGCTGTCGAATTTAACTACAATAACCGGTATTCTAGTTCCAGCCCTACTCATTTTTAATGTTGGACTACCTAATGTTAGACCGTGTTATTTGAACGTCATGTTCCTTTACAATTTTGAATTTAAGAAAGTGATCTTTTTAGATCTCTTATGTGTAAAACATAGATCTCTTATGTGTAAAAGTAAATCTCTTATGTATAAAAAAGGTAGAGTCATAAAATTAAAAACAAGTTTGTGAAGAGTCAAAAAACCAATTGATACCCTGTTAGACCCCATGTTATATTATTCATACTCTTAATTAGTGTTCAATCCTAAATGTGTGGAGAGCGCAAAAGTCTCACCTCAGTTGATGGTATGTATGTACTGTCAAATCTCTCTATAACAATATCATTCTTATATAATAACATTTCACTATAAAGGTCAAGTTTTTTTCGGAACCAAATTTCATATAATATATGTTTTCTATAGTAGCAATTCGCTATAACATCCAAAAATATCTGGAACAAATTATAGAGAAGTTTGACTGTAATGGAGTATTCTTTATATGATCTTTTAACCATCCTTACCCCATCTTAAGCACATTAAATATTCGGTATGGTAGATGCGGATGTCAATTAGGGTTTAAGTTATATACGCTAATAGCATAAAGTCAATTTAACCGGTTGTTAATTAACAAGTTATTCTTCTTATTTTCGAGTTTTGGAATGTGGGCGTATATATGCATGGTCAATTATTTATACACATTGTCATCTCTTACGATAGTTCATGCGTGTGATATTCCTATATGGACCATTCTATGGATGTAAGGTATATTTGATGAGAGTGAAACACTACAATGATTGGAGCCGTTGAGTATTTTCTGAAGATATTATTTTGAAGTGAACAAAAAATGTAATTAACATAGTCCAATAGGTCTAAATTAAGATGAGTAATTAGGGACTGCAAAATATCTACTGCAACTTTTGTTCTGTTTCATTATACTAAATTTTATGGTCCCCCTTTTAAAGTGTGTAGTGCAGGAATAATATATCAAGTTGGGTGGTGGACACGAGAAGATGCATCTCTTGTGTTAATGGTTAAGAAGAAGGGATAAGTTCTTGGGTAAGTAAACAGGACCAAGCTTATAACTTTGATTCGAAGAAGATGATATATGATAAGTTTTCTCTGCTTCTTATGGCTATTTCTTATTGTTCTTTTCTTTATAAATCACCGATAAGGTTCCTTTGGGATTAAGTGTAGCAAAAAAGAACGAAGGAGAAATGAAAAGAAAATGTTCCTTTTTTGACTTACCCATTTACATGGCTAATCAACTTGTTAGTCTTTGACGCATATCGTGGTACGTCTTCTGCTCTACTGATATTCGTGCGGATTTAAGATTTTTAATGTATCAATTTTTATAACCATCTTACCTTATAGATACCCCGTAGATAGGTTAAATATTTTATTTTTATGTATATATACTATGTGTTGATTCCCCTTAATTTTTTCATATGCTCACTTATTGACCGCCACTGCTTATAAAAGAATAAGTAATTATGTCAATGAACTTTTCATAAAGCAAGAAGATAATTGTTTCTACATTTCCTGGCTACTAAATGAAAAATCACGGCACAACCTCTGACTTCTCTGCGATCAATATAGTTATCTCTGTACTGCAAGAATTGGCGGACCTACGCATTAACTTCGGCATCAATTTTGAATATATAAATGTATATATACGTTGAAAATATATATTTTGTTTGGAACCTTAAGATTAAAAGTCCGATGGGGATCTGGCCTCTGATTGCAAGGAGACATAATATCACTTTCGAAAAGTCCTACTCAAATCCAAGAAAACTATTCTCTGTCTGGAGGTAGTGAATTTGTAAGATTCATATATGCAAGAAGTAAAGAACTGGGAATCTGTCAGTACACAGAGTTGAGTGATCGTTAAATATCTTTTGGGAGAGTGAAGATAGCTGAGAAATTGTAGAGAAAGGGAAAACGACGGAAATGGGGCTGAGGAAATACAAAATATATTCTCTGTAGTCGCTCCTTCTATAGGCGACCTACGCATAGAAGGCAAGTCCTTCTTACTCTTTTTATAACTTCTTCTATTAATGATTGGAGTAAAAAATCATACTTTCTCTTTAATTAAATAAAGTTTAAATGCAATTAGTCAAATATCATAGCTAAAACTTCCCTCACATTCAATAGCTTGATTGTTCTCTTTTTTCCATTTGCAGCATCATATAAGCAATATTTTTCAAGGAGCAATATTAAAATAAAATAAAAACTTTTTTGCGTATATCTCTTTAGTGGATCATAGTACTATTAGGAAAAAAAAATAATATAAACTAAAAAAAAATTATTTCACTTATTTTCCTTGGTGCAACGGTAGAGTTGCTCCTTAAGTGACAACAACACTTTCTACACAGGAAATATGACCATATAAAAAATAAAATATTTTTGTACCTCATTCAATTGCATTCAAATGTATAATTGAGTATAAGTTTTCCAAAGGGATGTTAAATAAATATTTCTCAACTACAAGCTAGAGTAAAAGTTACACTCAAAAGACAAGGAAGCAGCTTCACTCACACAGATACTAAACTAGGAATTATTTAGTCAAATATCACAATGCCAAAAGAAGAAGAACGAAAAGGGCTATACACTCTTATTCACAAGTTCAATACAGCATCAAGAAACTGAATGATGTCTTCTCCTCTGAAAAGGAAACCAGCTTTCTGAATTTGCTTTTCCCTGTACTGTCTTTGAATCTTTTATGTGGAATATCGCGTTGAGCTTACTCAATTTCTTGGTAAATGACTTGAATAACTTATTGGCAGGATGTGGTTTTACTAGCTCCTGTTTCATAAACACATGATCTTTTTCTAAATCTGTAAGCCTCATTCTCATTCTTGTTACCTCAAGCTTCAATTCTCTATTTTCTCTCCTCACTGATGCATAATTATCTCTCGGAGAAGTGCATCCGCTTCCTACTCCACTGCCTGAACGATGAGGAAACTGACTGTTCATTGACCCAAAGAATAACTGGTTTTGTCCCCCATTCATTGCATTTCTCAGCCTGATTTGTTCAAAATACAGCACTTGAACTGCCATTTGTACAGGCAACCGCTCGTTTTGTGCAGCATGACTGCAGCCTTCTTGTGATAGTTTCTGGCAATCAATTGTTTTGCAGAGTTTATACCGTTCTGAGTCTTTAATGTTCGGATGAACCTGCGATAAAAGTTTCATGTATCGTGTTCATTAAGCCTGCACAACTGTGGACATGTGTCATTTCATTCTTATAAAGGAACAACAAATTAATTCACATATCATCACTGAACTTTATCCATTATAACAGTAAAAAAAACAATTTTTTGACCAGTATAACAG